TCAGTGAATAAATGCAACCATCAGAGGAACAAGACGTGTAGCCAAGATTGGTAGTCAGGGCTATAACTTATCCTCTCAATGCCTAGCACAGTATAAGAATATAAGAATTCTGCATATTTTTGAATAAAAATTTAGCTATTCATTTTAATTATTATTCTTTCTATTATTATTTCTACTGCTATGTATTCACTTGAAGGATTTTTTTCAAAATATACACAAACTGCTTATTAGCTAATGGCTATACTAACACAATGACATAAATAGTTGTATGGGAAATTTCACAGTATCTTGGTTGGTAATGATAACATTGAAATAGTCTTAAATTCCTAAATATGTGGTCTTTTTTTTTTTTTTTTGAGAGACAGAGAGTGAGCAGGGTGGGGGAGGGGCAGAGGGAGAGAGAAAGAATCTTAAGCAGGCTCCATGCCCAGTGTGGAGCCCGATGCAGGGCTTGATCTCACACACTGAGATCATTACCTGAGCTGAAATCAAGAGTCGGATGCTTACCTAAGACACCTAGGTGCCCCATGTGCTCCATTTTTAAAAAAGAAATAGAGAAAATATTATTTCACTTTTTTAAATTTTTATTTATTTATTTTTTTAAAGATTTTATTTATTTGACAGAGAGAAAAACAGCAAGAGAGGGAACACAGGCAGGGGGAGTGGGAGAGGGAGAAGCAGGCTTCCCGTGGAGCAGGGAGCCCGATGTGGGGCTCAATCCCAGGACCCTGGGATCATGGCCTGAGCCGAAGGCAGACGCTTAACGACTGAGCCACCCAAGTGCCCCTCACTTTTTATTTTATTTTATTTTTATTTTATTTTATTTTATTTTATTTTTAAAGATTTTATTTATTTATTTGAGAGAGAGAGAATGAGAGACAGAGAGCATGAGAGGGAAGACGGTCAGAGGGAGAAGCAGACTCCCTGCCGAGCAGGGAGCCCGATGCGGGACTCGATCCCGGGACTCCAGGATCATGACCTGAGCTGAAGGCAGTTGCTTAACCAACTGAGCCACCCAGGCGCCCATCACTTTTTATTTTTAATAATTTATATCATGGCAACATTAGAATAAAGGTTGCTGACAATTGTTTAAACAACACTCTGCAGTGGTCTTCTACAGAAAAAAATGCAATTAGATAACATTTTGAGAATTTCTATTTGTGATTTTCTGAATGTTGTGGTACAGTCTGTTCTTTATCTTTGGTACCCTCTTGTGGCCAGTGGAAGGGATTGGTTTGGCCTTCTTTTAACAATTATGTAAAATTTCATGTTTTTTATCTGCATGGTAGGCCTATAGTTTTTATAATTATTTGACTTGTTTTTACTATATACAAATTTGGAGTAAAATTGACGCTTGGAGTTTCCCTCCCATTCCTTACTACTTTACTGTGTAAAGTGAGGGTGTGACACAACCACAGTTGCTAATCTTAGAAGCTAAGATATAATATGACCTCTGTGCTTAGAGCAAATGTAGTGTCATTTAGAAAGTGAATTGATTGCAGACCCAGAACTTATCTTACACTTTTGCCAGCTAAAATTGGGTTTGAGGAATAATTTGCTATTTTGGATGATCTTCTTTAAAATTTTATAATACATATACTCACATACATACAAACATCACACATATATACATACATATATATGACTTCATTTTAAATGATTACCTAGTTCAAATGTCCTTAACTGGATTTACAGAAAATGTAACACGATAATGTAGTCTCCTTTTTTTGAATCATTCTGTGACAATAAGACAGGAATCATGTACAGCATTTAGTAAAGATTCATGGGTTATTTTTCCCTTCCATCTGCAGCATTTGTTTTAGAGCAGATTCTTAGCTTGATACCCAGAACATGTAACACAAAAGATAAGAGGTAGCTGTATGGTGCTAAGTTAGTAAGTCCAAATGAGACTTGGCTTACATGAAGAGTATATCATAGCTTTTGGGACAGATGTGAATTTCAAGGAGAAATGCTCTTTGTTTTCAAGAACATGCTTCCCCACATTATAGTTGTCCTTCATGTGGCCTACTCAGCTCTTTAATTTTATGCTAGATCTGAGTGTGTTTTTGTTTTCTACATCACTGGAATCTTTGAGTCGATCTTTTTTGCTGGCCTGGTGATGTGAAGCACCAGGGTTTGAATAAGAGTCCAGGAAGTGCTCTGGGGATGATTTTTTTGTATTGCCAGGAATGCTGACATGTTGGCACTGAATTAATGTTTCCAAAAATGCCATCAAACACTGCCTGAAAACAAAGATACTAGTGTTGTCTCCACAGCTGTGTTCTCTTCGCCTTTAACCAGTTTCTTCTATGCATAGCAAGAAATTTTAAGTCCCCTAGAATAAGATGAAAGTGAGTGAGTTTTGTGTACTATACTATAATGCGACTGGTTGCCCCCCCAGTATTTGTGCACATGGGGTTGAGTTAAGCTATTTGTGTGGAATTGTCCCTGGTATCATGGATATTGTTTTTTTGTTTTTTTTTTTTAAGCAAATGGAATATCTCTGAGGGACTATGGTGCCCAGTGTAATAAGAGGAAGTATTTCACTTTTTTATTAAATATTTATTGAGCACTCTGTCAAATATTCAGTTTTATAGAGGATGGGATATAAACGTAATTTCTCTGCTACAGTGTCACCACTGAGCAAATGGTGAAATGTTCACCCAGGTATCTTGTTACAGTGGTGGAGAGGACAAGGTCCTCCCATCCTGAACCTTGGACTTCTGTGCTTCCTTTTGGGTCTACTACTCCACATTTTGTAATGTGAGTTTCTGAGTAGACTTTTCTTTTTAATGTGAATGCCACTCTTTATTTTTTTATTGTGTTTCTTCTAGTAGGACCACATTTTCTTCCTTATGTAATGAAAATCCTTTGGAGATTTTGGCTTTTCTCATTTATAGATCTAGTAGTTTAATTTAAAATTTTTGCAGTACAGTCCTACTTGCTCTTCCCATTCAATGTAATTTTATCAGTTAACTTTTTTAAAGTTCCATATTTGGAACTAGATCATGGTGGGTTAAAAACATCAGAGGTGCCAGTGGATCGAAATAGAATTACTTGGATCTATTAATCTCAATCTGACAACCTCAGATAATGGGAAAGATAGGCCAGAGTCCTGCTTGTCTTTTCCATTCTCCTTTCCTCCCCTTCTTCTCCTGTCCCTCTATAAAATTATCCATCTATTTTTTAAAAAGATTTTATTTATTTATTTGAGAGAGAGAGAGAGCATGAGACAGGGGAAGGTCAGAGGGAGAAGCAGGCTCCCTGCTGATGCAGGACTCAATCCAGGGACTCCAGGATCATGATCTGAGCTGAAGTCAGTCACTTAACCAACTGAGCCACCCAGGCGCCCTATCCATCTATTTTCTTAAAATTTTTCTATTGATGGACAGCACAATGTCACATCAATTTCAGGTGTGCAACCTAGTGATTTGACAACTGTATACATTATACTATGCTCACCACAAATGTAGCCACCATCTGTCACCATACAGCAGTGTTATAGGACCATTGACTATATACCTACGCTGTACCTTTCATCCCTGTGACTTAATTTATTCCATAACTGGAAGCCTATTATCTCCAGCTCCCCCAGAGTATGGCACACTTCATGATTAGCCATACTAATCTTCTTTGTATTGTTCCAGTTTTAGTATGTACTGCTGTTAAATGAGCACATATCTATCTCTAATTTTTTATTAAACTCTTTCAAATACTTAAGCAAATAATGAAATAAAGCATTATATATAATAATCATAGAGCTTGTTAAAAATAATGATTCCTGAATCTCTGGATGGGGGAAATAGGAATCTATGAATAGGCTTAAAAATACTTGACTCTCATTAAAGTGGTCCAGGCATTGCACATCCAGAAACAATGAAATAAAAGCAAGTAAGAGTGCTTCTTTGGCCAGTGTGAAATTCATGAGTTCGATTGCCTAGTATTTATTTCATATGGACTCATAAATGGAAAAAAAAACTTACCTGGTTTGGGGGCGCCTGGGTGGTGCCATCGGTTGAGCATCCAACTCTTGGTTTTTGCTCAAGTCGTGATCTCAGGGGTCATGAGATCAAGCCCTGTGTCAGTCTCTGTGCTCAGTGCGGAGTCTACTTGAGATTTTTCCCCCTCTGCCTCTGCCCCTCCCACTTGTGTTCTGTGTCTCTCAAACAAATAAATCTTAAGGTTTTTTTTTTGTTTCTTTTTTTTTTTTACCTGGTGGATAACATATTTATAGTTGGAGAAGATTATATGCCCAGGCAGGTCTTATCCCCTTTAGGATTTTATTCCATTTGCATCTGTATAAGAGTGTGCCACAGGATGAAAGGTAAAGTTGTCCTCCTCTTCCACAAAAGGCCAGCCTAGTTACAGTTTTCCCTATAAAACAACGTAATTTTAAGGATGAGCAAAGGTCAGCTATTACAGTCATGGTGAGTTATGGTAAAGATGCTGCTAATCTTTTTGGTTTGACTTTGAAACATCTTATTTAATTATTTCATGCTACCAGTTTTTAGAAGTCCGTTTTCCCCCATCAAGAATGAAGTGTTTGAAATATCAGGTACCTTTTTGTAGCTGGGAAATAACGATTTCTTGAAAAGAGTCTGTGTGAGCAATTCTCTAAACTGGTCATATATTAACTCATCGACACCACCAGAAAGCATAAATGAGACATTTTCTCTTGGTCCTATCTCATACTTACTAGATCAGAATCTCCTGTTGAGAGTCAATTATAAAGTTCTCAGAGGGATGCTACTGTAGCCAGCCTGCCTCCCTCCATACTGTAGTTCCATGAACTTTGAGAATATTTGAGTACGTTTGAATACATATTTGAATACATACTCAAATGACTTGTTTCACAACCTTTTTCCTACTCCGTCAAATTTTGTTCATAGTTGGAGCTCACTAAATCTTTATTAAATTTTTGTATTGGACGTTTGATGGGAATGTTAAAAAATCAGTTTTATTCTCGAATTAGAATATTTTGTTGTTTTGTCACCTCCTAGGATGGAAAGAAGAAGTTTGACAAGGAGAGTGAAAAGTACTATTCTATTCTTGATAAACATTTAAATTTGTCTGCAAAGAAAAAGGAATCTCATTTGCAAGAGGTAAGCTTTTTCACTTAAAATGTGAACAGGACATTAGCATTAAGTCATGTGAAGTCCAAATTTCCAAAGGTCGTAGTACCTCAGAATCTGCTACTCTATAATAAAATAATGATAATAAGAGTTAATTGAGTACTTAAAATGGACAGACACTGTGCATTTCACATGCTTTATGACCCTTAATATTAACACTTCCAAGTAAAAGATTAGTTATTTCCTTCAATGATGAGAAAGAATGAGATAAGATTTTTTTTCTTTTTTTTCTTATTGGGTATATTTTCAATGGCAGGACCTACCAAATTGATGGAATAGCTTTTTCCAATATCTGCTTTTAAGGTGTTGCTTTTGCAGTAGGGAGAAAACAGATACACAATTACACATTTTAAAATCTCTATTTTATATCAATTTTCTTAAAAAACAAGTCAACAGAAATATTTTAACCTCTATGCATTTAAGCAACCCATTTCTTCTTTTTTCTGCAATATTTATTCTCACTGGTAGTTTTTGAGTATAACTAATAAAATTGAGTAGTCCTTTTACTAAGGCATAATACAGTTCCAGTACAGTGATGAGATACATTTAAAAGAAATATTGGACCTTCTTGCCATTATCATCTTAGCAGCATAAAATCTCGAAGCACAATGCATGGACACTGAACCCAGCATAGTTCACCAGTGGCTCCTTACTGTTCTCCAGACATTTGCAGGGATCCTATACCACGCTGAGTCCGCTCCAGTCTCTTCTTCCTCTTCTGTCTCTACTTCTAAGTATCGCAGTTGAGTACCTCTTTCAAATGCCTCCTCTTAATTTTCTAGCAAAACCACAAACCTTACTGAACTGCTTATCAACCTGGTTCTCTGCTCTCCTTCCTTTTCTTATTTGCCTTACCTCCATATTTACTCACCAGGCACACTTGACAAGTTGGAGTCTGGATGCAGTGAACTGGAGTCAAAAGGCTTGGAAGGGTTATTTTTACTTCTGTTTCCTTTTTCCTGTACTCTTATGTTCTCATTGAGGGAACTGAATTTCTTCATTTAAAAACATTTTTTTTAAAGTTTAATATTGGGAATATTTGTTACTTAAACATGTTCATTATAACTAATATCTTGTTATTAGCTCCTAATATTGAAATATGATATATTAATATACAACTTGTGCTGCAGGAAAGATTTTCTGGCTAAATTGAAAGGGAGAAAAAGCTGTCATTTAGAAAAATCATATTTTGAATTTTCATAGACATATCTAATCTTATGAAGTACTATGTCGTAACAATATTATGTTCACATGTTCCAAACTTCTTAAATGCTCATGTACCTCTTTGAGCATTATACATACTACAACAAACCTAGGAGAGAATGAATTGTATAGATACAGTCATGTGAAGAAAGGCTCGCCTAATTATCACCAGTACACCACTATCTGCCATGCCAAGGGCTATGGCCAGGTGCCATTTTAAAAATTCACTGCCTCTAAAGCAATGGTGCTTTTTAGGGTCTATAAAGGGTTATATTTTCTTCAGATTCTTGGTGAATGTGAGAGGCCACACTTAGACATTGCTTAATTTTAAAATCTTCTAGAGGCTATACTTCAGTTTTCCCTGACAACCTAACTCTGTATTTAATATTAGCTTGTTAGTCGCCTTCAATCGCTTAGGCTGTGGTAGAAGAGAGTATCTGTTCTGGTTCTGTATTTAGTTGGAGCCTGGAAAAACCTATAATATGATTAGCAGCATCCTCTGCTTGCCCCACTACACACACATACATGCATGCATGCATGCACATACTTCTTTTCCAGGAGCCATAGCCCACAATAGAACACAAATTGTGCCAGAGCAGCTCCTCAGAGCACATAATGTAGACGAGGAAAAAAATGTGCCTTTTTTTTTCCCCCCTCTGCCCTTCCAGGAATCAAACCTGTTGTGGGGAGATGCTGCCATACTTGTGTTTGATTCTGTAAGCCCAGTTCCTTTCCAGAGCAGCTCTGGTACTTCTGTCAGAACCAAGCTTACTGTTTTCAGAAAGACTACTCTGTGCCTTCTCACCTGCACAGCTGACTCCTCATTGCCTTGTTCATAGAAAATAAGTGGTTGCCCGTTTTCAGGACTGAATTAGGGGTCAGCTCGTGTTGATAGAGCTACAAGGCTATCAGTTAGATGGATCATTGGAGTAAGCAGAATTAGAAACAGACTTGTTAAGATTGTAGACTTTATAGTGAATGAAAATAAGTAATATTTGATGTGTAATTGGATAATTTCTAAGTATGAAATAAGAGAAAAAAATCATAAAGAAAATGTAGAAAGACCAGAATGCATCAAAATAATCTTTATTTCAAAGATATTAAGTTAAAAGGTAAATGTTAGGGAATTTGTACAGCATATGACACAGGATTACTATCTCTTATATACAAGTTTGCAAATCAGTGTGAAAAAGTCTTCAGTGCAAAAATATGAAGTAAGAATTGAAAAGAGCAGAAAATGGAGGGGAAGATGGGGGGCAAAATAGGAGGACCCTAGGCTTGCCTCATCCCATGCATCAACTAGATAGCTATCAAATCATGCTAAATACCCAGAATTTGACCCAAAGACTTGCAGAACAAACTCCACAACTAAAGGTAGAGAAGAGGCCACATCAAAGAAGGTAGGAAGTGCAGAGACACAGTTTGGGAAAAAAATGAATCATGGCCATTGTGGTTGGGGTAGAGGGGAGCCATGGTCACAGAGAAGGGCAAGAGACAGGCTAACACATGGGGGGAGCACACTGGAAAAACAAATCCCCATATAAATTGGCTTGGAAATCAAGAGAAGCTGAATTTTGAATTTCATAAGTTCCGGCAACCAATGGGGCTTAAAGCCTGGAGTTCCTTTTTTTTTTTTTTTTTAAGATTTTATTTATTTATTTGACAGAGAGAGAGACAGCTAGAGAGGGAACACAAGCAGGGGGAGTGGGAGAGGGAGAAGCAGGATTCCTGCTGAGCAGGGAGCCCGATGCGGGGCTCGATCCCAGGACCCTGAGATCATGACCTGAGCCGAAGGCAGACGCTTAATGACTGAGCCACCCAGGCGCCCCTAAAGCCTGGAGTTCTAAAGCTAGGTCAGTAGGCTTGGCTGAGGGAGAGCCTGGAGGCATTGGGATTGCTCTTGGAGAGAAGGCAGGGCAAACAGCTTGTCGACAGTGCAGAAACAGTGATCTGAAGAGCACCTGGGGCACCCACTGAAGAGGTTATTTGCTCATCTCAGAATATGTGCCAACGATGCAGCATTCACAAAGAAACCCCTCCAGGAACAAAGGAACTGGCAAGCGCCATTTCCCTCCCCTGGGCTTCGGCATAAGCACAGGGCCACATGCGGGAACCACTGCACAGCAGACACTACCTACCTTGCTTACCCAAGCCCTGTGTGCCCCCCTCCCACTCCAGTGGAACCACCCTTCCCAGTCATGCTTGCCATGGTCCCAGAATGGCAGGCCCCCACCTGCAGAAGGTCAGCCAAAATCCCTGCCAACCCTCATCTCCAGATGCAGGAGTTTTGGGGAGCCTAGGTTTTGGTGGCAGTGGCAGTATGTCTCATTTCACATGCAGACCAAGAGCACACCTAGTTGAAAGGCACCACATTCAGGCCAGGGACCAAACACTTTCCAGAACAGGCAAAGAGAGCATCTGCCGATGACTGGCCTGAAGGATAAAACAGTCAGGACACAACAGCAGAGCATGTGCAGTACACATTGGAGACATTCCCAGAAGTGCCAGACCCTGGGAAATAGGGGACAATACAAAATGAGAAGACAGAAGAATTTGTCCCAAATGAAAGAATAGGACAAGGCCATGGCCAGAGATCTAAGTGAAACAGATATCAGTAACATGGCTGATAGAGAATTTAAAGTAATGATCATAAAGATACTCACTGGACTTGGGAAAGGAGTGGAAGGCATCGGTGAGACCCTTAACACAGAGATAAGAAATAACATAGCAGAGATAAAGGCCTCACTAAACAAAATGAAAAACACACTTGATGGAATGAACAGCAGGATGGAAGAAGCAGAGGAACAAATAAATGACCTAGACGTCAGAGTAATGGAAAGTAATCAAGTGATTACTACAAAAAAGAGAAAAAAAGAATTATGCAAAATGAGAATAGAGTTAGGGAACTTAGTGACTCCATCAAACATAATAATAGTATTATGGAAGTCACAGAAGAAGAGAGAAAAAAGGAGTCAGAAAATTTATTCAGAGTAATGATAGCTGAAAATTTCCCTGTCTGGGAAAGAAACAGATACCCAGATCCAGGAGGCACAGAGAACCCCCAACAAAATCAACAAAAGCAGATCCACACCAAGACATATTGTGATAAAAATGGCAAATACAGTGATTAAAAAAAATAAATTCAAAGAAGCAAGAGAAAAGACAATTACATACAAGGGAAAACCCCCTGATTAAGGCTAATCATTGGATTTTTCAACAGAAACTTTCCAAGCCGGAAGGGAGTGGCATCATACATTCACAGTGCTACATAGGAAAAATGTGCAGCCAAGAAAACTAACCAGCAAGGCTATCATTCAGAATAGAAGGAGTGATAAGAGTTTCCCAGACAAATAAAAACCAAAGGAGTTTGTGATCAATAAACCAGTCCTGAAAGAAATATTGAAGGGGGGACTTTTTGAATGGAAAGGAAAAACCATAAGTGGGAGTATGAAGGAAGGAAAGAAAAAACAGTAAAAATGAATATTTTTTTGTAAAGTATCAGTCAAGGACCCACAAAATAAAAGGTTGTAAAACATGACACCATATACCTAAAACATGGGGAGGAGAGGAGTAAAGAATGGGTTCATCTTAATACAGACTGCTATGTGCGGAAGATGTTATATACAAGCCTAGTGGTAAGCACAAATCAAAAACCACTAATACAAATGCAAGGAATAAAGAGAAAGAAATCCAAATATATCGCTAAAGAAAACCAGCAAACCATGAAAGAGAGAAAGACAAAGGATCAGAGAAAATCTTTAGAAAAA